AGGGCGGAAAAATGGCCGCGGACCACGTGTCAGGGCGGAAAAATGGCCGTACCCCAAGGCGGAGTTCGCACATCGAGGTAAGTTTTTGCGGCCGGAACTGGTCGTAACCCGAAAAGTTCGTTAGCAGAGGCGTTTGTATCCCGAGGTACCACTGTACATGTCTCTCTTCACCCCCTATAAGGTTACCAACAGATCTCTCTTCTCCCCATAACCCATCCTTTATCTACAAACAAATCCATAAGACATCAACTTTTCAGTCCTGGTGTCAGCAAAAAGTCCGTAAAGAATTACCAGAATTTTATAAAAACATGTATTATTTTAACCTTGATCAATTAAACCAACTTTATATCCCTTCCTTTTACTTCTGAAAATCTTAATCTTTAATTCATTCAAATATTGTAGGATTTGATCTCCAATTTTTCTTTGTCCCATCACATAGGCTTCTTTGAAGCTTTAACAAGCCATTTTTTGTAAATCCAATAAAAAGACATTATCCAGGTCATTCTCTTGGTTTATCATTTGTATTTCCCCTTTAATTTTTAAGACTTCAGCCAGCTTCTTTTGTATATTCAGTAAAGAGTCCTTATCTGGGTCATTCTCTTGGCTTGGCATTTCCACTTTAAATGCCTTCTCTGTCTTGTAATCCATACTTTTTTTTAATCCAACATTTCTGATTCTACTATTTCTGCATCAAGCAAGATTTGTTTAACATCTGTCATTCCTTCATTAACATCCTTTAGACATAGTCTATCCATAGAAGCAGACATCATTACTGATATTGTGGCTACTAATTTCTGGCCCTATTCTTCAAAGATCTCTTTTAATATTTCAAATGTTATGGAAGTTTTTTTTTTCTTTTTGCCTGGAATCTTTAGTCCCCTCTAGTGTCCAATTTAAATCATAAAGTCTCTAATCTCTATTATAATTTACAGTAGACCAAATAATTTGGTTCCCACGAAAAGCTGTTTATTTTATATACTTAGTTCCAAAAACTTACAGTAAAAGTTTCAATATTCCAGATTTGTCTGGACCCTTAATTCGTTTATAACTTTCTTGGTTCAAAATCTTATTTAGCTTTTTTGCCATTTACTTCAAATTCTTTAAGTTCTTAAACTTATAGTTAATTTTTCTTTTGTTCAGAAATGAAGATAGACTCACCAGGTGGCTTTTCAAACTTGTCATTCTGAAGATCTCTAATAGCTTTCAGATGGTTAGATAAGCAATTTCCAAAAGTGATTAAAGTGAGGTTAGAGAACCTTTAAAAGGCTCTGCCACAGTTGTGACCTTGATGATTGATCCCATCATCTCCTGTAAATTCTTTAAGTTCTTAAACTTATAGTTAATTTTTCTTTTGTTCAGAAATGAAGATAGACTCACCAGGTGGCTTTTCAAACTTGTCATTCTGAAGATCTCTAATAGCTTTCAGATGGTTAGATAAGCAATTTCCAAAAGTGATTAAAGTGAGGTTAGAGAACCTTTAAAAGGTTCTGCCACAGTTGTGACCTTGATGATTGATCCCATCATCTCCTGTCATTCAAACCTGTGGGAGACGGCTGTCCTAGAGCCATCTGGAGCGCATGTGGGCGATCTCCTGTCCTCTTCTTCTCTGGAGAGGTTCTGAAGAACCAGTGTACTCACCGGTTTTTCAGTCTATGCTTTGGAAGCCTTCCAATTCAGATTCTGACTTACCAGACAGGCCCATAACCTGGAACTAGTATCCCAACCCAAAGGGCTGCTTGACTCCTCCCTTAATCTTCTTCTCCCTGTTCACTCTCTGATGACAAGAAAAGTACTGCATGGTAAATCCAACTACCATTCTTGGTCATCAGAGACTGAGATGACAGGAAATGCATATACTACAGCCAATATTTCCAGGGTGGTTCAGAGTAATAGCTTATAGCAGTCTTTGCAGGTGCAGCCTAAGGAAAGACACCTCCAAGGTGCTCACTGCCAAGATATAAACTGAGCTGGTGTGTACTCTGCTGCCACTCTGGGAGATAGCTTCAAGAAGGAAAAGGAAGGGGGATAATTTATGCAGGAGGTTGTTCATCTAGAATCAAAGCTGATGGGATCCATTTGCCTGATGGTTATGTTCACAGCCATCAGAAGATCCTCAAACACGTCTCTGGAGAGAGCCAGTTATCTGCCCTGTGGTTTCCATGATGGTACTCACTGAAAACACTGAAGAATGGACCTTTCAGAGTATTCTACAAACCAAAGATAGGACCCTAACTGGTGGTGAGTGGTATCTGAGAATTTTGTGATTCTGCCTGATGCAGCAAACGAGAGGACCAAACCTAATAAAGGATAGCCTCTACCAACGCTGTAGGAAAAAGATATGTTTCTGCACCTTAAATAACTTGTATCAATTGTAGGAAATCAGCAACTTTTTAAAAAATCTCTAAAGAGACGAATAATTTTCCTAGGTTCCTAGTGTTTAATATTTTCAAAAATATTTATAGAACTTACCTTGTGTAACCACTTTGATTATAATTAAAGTTGATACAACTCGTAAAGATAAACTACAACTTTTAAAGAAAGATGCAGTCTTGGGCTTGGAATCAGTAGCATGTTCAGAAGTACTGTATTGACTTCCCTTAGGGGCAACACCTTTAAATAAGTCTTCACCCAGCCTTCTCATGGTTGAGGTCATTGTTGCATGCTATTTTTCCAAGCAATAAAAAGTAGAAAGTGATCATAGTATTCTATGTTATGTATTGTCATAATATATTTATTCTATATACATTTTATGGTAATTTAAATACTATAGACAAAGATTATCAACACTGCAATCTGGTCATTTAAAATATGCAATGTTCTTTCAAACCAGTGATCTCAGAAGATAAACACTTAACGTAATAAACCATTTAATATGTTTTATACTCTGAGTTAGAGTTGAAGGTGTTACAGTCCAGACTGAAGGTAGATTTGCTTATGGAAATGCTCCAATTATTGCCTAGCACAAATCTGTAATGAAGATGCATTGTTCCATAATGATTAATTATAAGATTGATACAAATTTGCATCAAAGCAGAAAAACAAAAGGAGATCATGATGGCTTGAGGCAGGTAAAAAAATCATGTAAATTGTATAAAGAGAACCCTACAATTTTACAAAGCAAAGTATTCAGATCTAGAATTCTAAGGGTCTCTGCAAGATGGATTTACAAAAGAACTGTGTCGTACAAGAAAAGAAGTTGTGGAATATAACTGTATTAATATTAAAAATGATTTACCTAATATTAAATAATACTGAAGCATTTCATTTTTAGATTAAGCAATGCCATAAAACTTGAAAGCTTCAAAGAAACAATTGTATCAAAAAGCACATTTCCTGCAGGAAAGCAGAGTTTACCTGGGTACTTCCATCTAACTGCCTTACAGCCCAGTAGATGCACTTAACCACAGGGAAGTGCAGGTTAGGAGTCACAAAGGGCAACCACTGAAGTTGTTCCGCAACGAGAGGCAAAAGCTCCAAAATACAAACAGAAAATTGCAATTATTTTCCAAATTGGGGTCTTACAAATAGATTCTACTTGGAAGCTGGGTCTTATGTTTTTACTCTTACGTGAAAAATAAATGTTGAGATAATAAAAAATTAAAATCCTCAAACGTTAAAGACTAATCTGTGCTGAGAAAACATCTCTCAAACTGTGAACTAGAGGAACACAACGTGCTAAGATTTTTCTCACACTGATTTCTCCCCTTATTTTTTCCTTGCAAACCTTCCAAATCCAGGCTGGAGTTCCAGCCTGCCCAACCCCTTTCTGGCTGATCCAGGTGCTAGGATTGTGATCGGATGTGATTAGCAATAAAAATGTGGATATGTCTCTATAACTTTTAATGCTAAAAACTTTAATTTTATTCAAGCAATAATGAATCCTCCCCCCCCAAAAAAGGGTTGATTCTGTCTTTTTCTGTGAAGATCCCAGTTTAAATTATCTCAATCCTTTTACAGATTAATTTAATCCTTAACAGTCTACTTTTGCTACCAGAGTCTAACTCAGTGGTTTGCCATTGCCTTCAGCCCTGGGATATGGCTTATGGTCACCCATCCAAGTATTAACCTGGTCTCTCCTGCTTATATTCCCGAGATCAGCCAAGATCAGCAAGATGGCACCACTTATTAGGGCCACAAACAGCTATACAGGGTAACATTCTAGGGACACAAATGGCATATCAACTTCTGGCTATTTTGCATAATAAGTACCATTTGGATCTGGATTTGTTTATGATGGCTGGGATGAAGGAAGGCTGCTGACGTAGCAACACCATTATGGAATGAGGATACTCTCCATTAGGGGAACCTTTACATACTCTGTGAAAATCCTGTACTAGGAACACAAGCTGGAGCACAGCGTTAATGGAAGCCTGTTAATAAAATCCCTACTGCAGCTAGGATCTTGAAACATAATTTTCTGAGAAATAATATGTTTGACATCATGCTGCCACTAATAATTTTTAAATATTTTCTGTCTGCAGCTTGGCTGAGAAACAAGTGTTTAAAAGATCTCTTTAACCCCCCCCCCCCCACTAAACTCATTCTTCTGGCATTATCACAACTTTTCTATTACAGAGGAACATAGGAAGAAGCTGACTTGGGCCTATGTGGAATGGACAGGACAATCCCATGCATGCTGAATTAGAAGCAAGTCCCACTGTAACCAATTGGCTTACTTCCAAGTAAGCATGTTTAGGACTGCAGTTTTGTAATTGTATATATATTAAGTAACCATCAGCTCTAGTTTAAAAAATTCTTAAATGATGCAACATCAGAAACAGTTTATCTGAGCTGGCCTGGAACCAAGCCAAATCACAATGAGCAAGATACGCTAATTACATATCATGAAAGACACCTGTGGTTATATCAGAAGTTGCACCCAGTAAACATGGATCCCTTGTTGTAGATAACAGGCTGTCTAATGATATTAAAATGAAGAAGGGCCTGGGATCTATAACATCAAATTATTCTATTTAGCCAGCAGAGCACTTACACATACAAGTACTGAACATACAGATGATACCAACATAACCTTTTTATAAAATAAGTTGGAAAAAATCCTCTACTTTGACACATTTCTCCTGTGTGTAGTTTCTGTTGGAAGCAAGTGTGCCTGTCAGCTTGTGAATGTTTCCTTTCTCTTCCTCAACAATCAGTTTGCAGAGGTGCTGCTCCGAGATCCAGTCCATTAATACCGTCAACAGGTCATAGATATGTGAATTAAGTGGTAACTGCAAAAAAATAAATATCAGAAGGGAGATTTGAAAAAAAATCACTACAAGATGATATTGACAGGATGTGCCAACTTGTATGTTTGGCAGTGCAACACACACCTGGTTGCATGAGCTGCCCCAAAAGTGCATGGAAATCTGCCTGTGACTAGTGCTGGAGGGAAAGGAATTTTTTTCCCAACTTGACGTGCATGGATAATACATCCTACGAAACTGAAAATGGAACTACAGCTGGCTCTTCTGTGGGGAGCCCCTACAGGCAACTGGGACCAGAATTTCCGTTTTTAAGCAATGTGGTCATTAAGTGCAATGATGTGGCCACATCGCTTAGCAACAGCAATCCTGACAGTCCTGATTGCCATTGTAACTCCAGGAGCACATGGGTCATTAAGTGGGAAGAGGCAGGAGTCCCAGGCAAGCAGGTCAGCAGCTGAGAGCTGCAGGGGGGTGGGCAGGTGCCGTGGCAGGTGCTGCAGGCAGGGGCTAGTGAGTGTTGGTGGGGGGGGGTGGGTAGGTGCTGGGGAGCGTGGGAGTGCATGGGGGCCATGGGTGGGTGGGCGGGTGCTGTGGTAGACACTAAAGAGTGCGGGCGGGCCGGCAAGCAGCAGGAGTGACTTGCAACCTCTTGCCGGCTTCCCCATTGACTTTGCTTGTGGGAAGCCAGAAGGGAACACCAAAAATCATGATCACGTGACCGTGGCTTGCTGCAACATTGTAATTGCGAGCTGGGTGCTGAGCGCCCAGATCGTGGGGATGCTGTGATCATGGGGATGCTGTAGGTTTCCGTAAGTTTGAACAGTCGCTGAACGAATGGTCATAACTCAAGGACTACCTGTAATTCAGTGAGGATTTTTTCTTATTTCTTGTTCCTTTTCAGAAACATGCTCTTTTGTTTTTATTCTAGCCACCCTCAATAACTTACATGCATTCATACACACTTACCAACAATACTTACATGCATATACTGTGCACCTATGCATACAGACATATATATTCATCAGCATACATACATAAATCTCCATCATGCTACTGCCTCAGGAGATAAGTAATGTTATACAAAGCACAGAAAAGGAATAATAAATAGTAAGCCAAAGTGATTAAAGTATGAGATAAAAAAGGAGCAATGGCTGAATCTGGATTACACCAAGACCATTCACTGTGCTGCATCTTGCAAATCATCCTTATTTCCTGCATATCCATACCCCGTATCATGTAATTGTCTTTTGTTCTTTAAATTTCTCACCTCTCTTTTTTTGAGGATCTCATCAATGCCATCCAACCACGACTTTCTCAGTTTTCTTTCATTTATCTGTTCTGCAACTTGATCTTTGTTCGCTCTCTCTATATGACTGAGGCTCCTGATCATACTCATTTCACGCTGGTTGCTCACTTCTGTATTGAATCCATATTCATTCATCAGCCATTCATTCTTAACCCTACCTTTTCTTGTTTTACTATACAAATTTCTTAAATAACCCATTCTTGTTGCACTCAACTTACATTTATGTTTCTTCTGACATACCCAATCTTCCATATACCAAAGGGGAGAGAAGCACTTTCAACAAGCACTTATTTCTTGCCACAGACCACCTACTACCTACTACTGTTCTACCAGTATCCACATATCACATATTCTGCCACCCATTTGATTACACATTAATACACATTAATACACATTGATACACATTCTCCCAAAGAACATACATTCATCTACTTGCTCTAAGTTTTCACCACTTATGGGCAATCGTTCCCTCCATTCCCGTCTAGCACATTAACCTGGGTCTTAGATTATTTTTCATATTCATATTCTTCATTGCTTCATATAATTTGTCTAGCATTCCCTGAAAATCATTTGAGGTGTCAGACATCAACAGTTGTACGTACAAAAGTACACATATATTAACTGTCAAACAAGCATGCCTCTAGTATAACCGCAAGCACTCCTTGTGTGTTTAACCACCGCCATCTTTGTCTTACTCCCTACTCAATGCTGAACCATTTGTGAAGCATTCCATTTCTTCTCATGCATCAGCTTAATGTTGACTGGGACTTGGTTGCTGGAGGCAGAGGGATTATACATATAGCAACCAAGCTTCAACTCCATATTTGCACAAAGCATTCCATAATTTAAGCAGATTCTCTAAATCAATAAACATATGCAAAGATTTTAATTTCAGATTTCTTTAGCCCTTGATCTTTTCCACTTCTTTCTTCCTTGAACATATATGCACAGTTGTTACATAATGTAAGTTAATGACATAAGATAGCATTAGCTTATTAAAAAAAGAAAAGTTATTTGCCAAGAGTTGTTAAAATGATCGCTAGTAATTCTGAGAACTTACTGATTATCTCCAATAATCAGTGATCTCATATATTAAAAGGACAATCGTACATTTTATACGCATAGCTACCCTTTCCGCTTACAGCCCCTGACAAAATAATGCCTTTATGGCTTTAACATTCTGAGTTGGGGCCATTGGGTGTTTTATAGCATATGCCTTACTTACTTTATAAGCTTTTGATGGTGCTATCACTTTTTCTGACTTCACAGGTTTACTGTCTTGTAATGTGGCTTCTTTAGATCTCTGTATTAATAAAAATTCATGCTTTCTCTGAAATAGGTCAGAGACAAAATGTAAGATTTCTTGCAGTGGGATGGGTAGAGGGCAAGGATAACAAAAGCCAAGATTAAATGTTACCTGCAAATTTTCTAAACGAGCCTGTACTTTTCGAGACTGGACTTCCAGCTTCTTGTTTTGCTCAGTCACATCACTTAACTAGAAACAGGGAGAAAATGATGAACCCAACCTTATAATTGTTTCCATTATGTGAAAGTCTGCTTCCCAATAACTGAACTGTTAACCAAAGGACTGATTATGTATAGTTTGTTTTCCCTTCTGATATGAGGAAAAACTCATTTAAAGTTCTAACTCATCTAAAAACGGAAGACTCCATACAGGCGGTTAGTCCAGAGTCCAAAATGACCTAGGAACATCATCCATCGGTATGAAGATCAAAATCATGCTATCAAGAAATTCTGACTTCAATCCTAAATACATTCAAAGCATATTTATCTAATGGTATGTTTTACTGAAACTGTCAAGGTTTTTATTTTTCAGCATTGGTTAAAAACTATTTCACACATATTTTCACATTTCCAGCTTCATGTTGACAACATCAAATCAAATAAATCTTAATTAGAGTCATAGACCAGCATAAGGGAGTGGGGTGTGGCTAATAAAAAGAAACATGAAACAAACCTCATAGACATACTAAAGGAAGCAATAAGATCAAACTGTAATTTATACATCATAGTTACCTCACACTTTCTGGACACACACATGCACATACACAAATACCATGGCTATATAAACTTTACAT